AATCCGTAAACACGGGCACCCTCATAGATATCATCCTGACTAACTTACCCTCTAAATACACCTCCGCTGTCTTCAACCAGGATCTCAGCGATCACTGCCTTATTGCCTGCGTCCGTAACGGGTCCGTGGTCAAACGACCACCCCTCATCACTGTCAAACGCTCTCTAAAACACTTTAACAAGCAGGCCTTCCTAATTGACCTGGCCCAGGTACCCTGGATGGATATCGATCTCATTCCGTCAGTAGAGGATGCCTGGTTGTTCTTTAAAAGGAATTTCCTCTCAATCTTAAATAAGCATGCCCCATTCAAAAAATACAGAACTAAGAACAGATATAGCCCCTGTTCTCCTCAGACTTGACTGCCCTTGACCAGCACAAAAACATCCTGTGGCGTACTGCATTAGCATCGAATAGCCCCCGCGATATGCAACTTTTCAGGGAAGTTAGGAACCAATATACACAAGCAGTTAGGAAAGCAAAGGCTAGCTTTTTCAAACAGAAATTTGCATCCTGTAGCACTAACTCCAAAAAGTTTTGGGACACTGTAAAGTCCATGGAGAATAAGAGCACCTCCTCCCAGCTGCCCACTGCACTGAGGCTAGGAAACACTATCACCACCGATAAAACTACAATAATCGAGAATTTCAACAAGCATTTTGCTACGGCTGGCCATGCTTTCCACCTGGCTACCACTACCCCGGCCACCAGCTCTGCACCCTCCGCTGCAACTTGCCCATGCCCCCCCCCCCCCCCCCCCCCGCTTCTCCTTCACACAAATTCAGACAGCTGCTGTTCTGAAAGAGCTGCAAAATCTGGACCCCTACAAATCATCTCTGCCACGGTCATCCCCCTCTTCAAAGGGGGTGACACTCTAGATCCAAACTGTTACAGACCTATATCCATCCTGCCCTGTCTTTCCAACGTTTTTGAAAGCCAAGTTAACAAACAGATCACCGACCATTTATAAAATTGAATTAGTATTCTATAATCGTTATTTATAGCGTAATAGAGTTCACTTACATCAAACAGGTGCTTCACAAAATTAATTTGGATAAAGCCAATGTGCAGAACTTTAGTTACATAACAATAGGTGTCTGCTTACCTGTTTTTAGAAGCCCGGGCACTTTGTCAAACACACCGTTCGACGACAGGCGATGTCCAATAGGCTGGGTGAATTCCAGCTAAGTGCCGCTACCAGATCACAGTCGGAGGTCACCAATTGTTAGAAATTGCGTAATTCAAATCTGGTATTGGAATAAGAATCAAGAGATCTTCAATCCAAGCTAAATTTATTATGTGCAAAATGTATGTATGATAAGTATGTTGGTTCGTATACGGGCTCACTGAAATACCACGCAGGGCAGACAGAGAACTGACTTCCTCATTACAAATCCTTCCGTAAATACCCTGACAGTTTTTAGTTCCCGCTCTCTGCTGGGCCTATCAGGGTAGAGGTTGGGCGTGGTTTAGACTTGCCCAACCTATCCGTTGGCGCACCGGCTGGTCCCAGGCCCTTGGCGCTCCCTTGTTGCACACTGTTGCCAGGCATACGTTTTTATCGTAACAACCTGTGGAGTCAGCACCCAAAAGACTGTACGTTCCTACGTTCAAGGACGGTTCACAGACAACAAAGAGGCAGTGTTCGTATCTGTAAGAAATACAAGTCTTATCTGTCCTACCCCCTAACGTTCCTCACATGAATCACAGCCTGTTATGTGAAACAATTTATATCAGTATAGTACAAACCTATGCTTATCATTAATGCATTCCTTCTAAGCTATTCATCACATACAGATCCAATTATGAGAAAATAGAACCCCACAAAAGCATGTGGATTCAACATGATCGCTAGCGTACCTCATTACTTTGGCAACATGCTATGGGTGGGTGTGGTGATTGCAAAGTCCGTTTCTAGCTAGCATCGTTAACTAAAGTTTGCTGATTCAATCTCAAATTTGATAGTTTGACTATTTGATTTGTCAGGACACCAACTAGCTAGCCAATTTATATCACACGTTTGTAAAACCTAAATGTAGCTATACCAGCTAACTTACCAATGAGGAAATACTGTTCAGACGAAAGGCATACCATTTCGACTTGATAAAGACGTCAGAACTCTACGTTGTGACGATACATTACTACTGATACTTGCCAACTATCATGTCAACACTTGCTTTTAAACACAATTATTTGTAAATGCTGTGTCTGTTGTTTAGCTAGTTAGCTAGCAAGATGGGTAGCATCTTTTTCTTCAGTGAGGTTTATCGGCGGTTGGCATCCAACGTTATGGTGCATTACCGCCACCTACTGTACTGGAGTGTGGGACAGAGACTGGGAGAATCTAAATCCTACCATTTTGTTTAAAAAAAATATTTAACCTTTATTTAACCAGGTAAGCCAGCTATCGGCCCCGTTGCTCATGACAAGCATATCAAGCAGGGTGAGGTCACAAACATCATATCCGGTCTACAGTAATGTCATATTGTCCCCGTTCAAATTATTTGAAAATGCATATTTTCTTCCCTAAAGTATGACTGGAAACCATTGAATTTAGTCTAATCGGTCTGAAATATTAGGAGGTACAGTATACAAATTAACTTAACTGGCCTACTCACACCCTTGCAGTTCACATTGTGCTTTAATACATTTTTACAATGTAAGGTCATTGGAACACTTGAACATAACATTTTACTGCAGATCCTCTACTTATTAATCCCATGAGTGGACAATGGAGATGTCTCCATACTTACACAGAAACATCATACATCAGAGAGACTGAGCACTGATGGCTGGTGAAACAAGCACAACCCATGACTTCCATAGAAGCAAATATATTCAATAGAAAATACTTTAGACCCATGGAATCCAAAAACAATACATGATCAAAAGTCCAATGCAAAGTCAGTATTATGTGAATAATCTGATAAACACTATCATGCAAAATATGCATCAAAAGCAAAGGAGCTATACAATCATGGAGGTCTGTAAGAAAAGTCATGAAGTGTATATCATTAATTGGGGTCACACACTGGACCATGGAATATACAAATCCATGGTCACACAACAAGTCCATTTTTTCCAAACCAGTGTCCAGGCCATGTTATCCAAAGGTCCTTTGCACAGTTTGTATCAACAGAATCTACAGTACACCATCACCAGAAGCATAAGTTCCATGAGGATGTTGTGGGATCATCTGTAGATTTCCTCAGTTCAAGGACAATTGCTCCAATATGCTGTTGTATCCTGCACCATCATCCAAAGACCAGGTGCAGTGTCATTCAAAACTCCTTTAGTTCCAGTTACGCTCAAATGACTTGGACTGACCATTAAAATGTAGGCCACCTGACGTTACCCTGGACAGAACAGACCTGGCTCCTACTAAGGTTTACATCTTTGTCCCCAGTATTGGAATATTTAACCAAACAAAAGTTTCCTTGGAATTGTGTTTTAGGGTTTTTAGGCCTTGTATCAAGTTCATAGTCGGTTTAATCTGTACACCACAAAACAAATGTGCCAGCCTCCAAATGTTATTTAAAAATAGAGTCTAGATCACATTTCCCATGTAGTGGACAGAAATTGGGCCCTACTGCCTAGTCTAGTTTTCAAGCCAATGAATCACACTGGACTGTTCTGATGAATGTCCTGGAGGGTTGAATCTGGTAAGCATAATATTCATAAGTCAAGTTTACAAAAATATAAAGAACTATAGTCACGAGAACTTATGCATACCATTTTGTACATATGTTAACAAAACCTTTACCTGTTCTTGGTCCCTGTCACACCCTGGCTCTGGGACTCTATATGTTGAGCCAGGGTGTGTTCATTCTATGTGTTGTATTTCTTTGTTGGGAGTTCTAGTTTGTTTATTTCTTTGTTGGCCTGAGTGACTCCCAATCAGAGGCAACGAGTGTCAGCTGTGGCTGGTTGTCTCTGATTGGGAGCCATATTTAAACTGTCGGTTTTCCCTTAGTGTTTGTGGGATCTTGTTTCGAGTTGGTTTGTGTTAGACTGTGAACTGTCACGTTATCGTTTTGCTGTGCTTATTATCACTGAAGATAATAAAGTTCAGTATGTTCGTCTGCAACGCTGCGCCTTGGTCTTCATCTGTTCTAGACGATCGTTGTTCCCTCTGTGTCTGATTCCTACAAATGAAACCTCAACTCAATAAAACATCAAGTGGAACCCTCGAGTCAATAGAACTAACTGAACAATTTCTGTAATCTATCTCCTTATCACAGTGAGTAATATATAAAATAGGGGGTGGGTGCACATGAACATACCTCTATAGGCATTTGTAGGCCTTTATATACATCTGTAGGTCGTTGTGTCTCTGTAGAAATACAAGCATTAGCATTGAGACAAAATAATCAATATCTTCTTATGACCGGTAGGCAGTGTTATTGTCAGAATTGACAAAAACTGGATATTTCTCATTGTTCATCTAAGCCAGGGATGGGCAACTGGTGGCCCTCAGATAAATTCCCCCCCCAAAAAAACGTTTATTTATTTTTTTGAAGCTCATTCAGGGTCTCAACTTACTGTTGTAAGTTAGAATAATAGAACACACAAGATGCAATTTCGAAATTTGGTTGTGCAATTATCCAATTTCAGCAAATTATTTTTTGACCTAAGTTAGCTGGCCGCTAAACTATCTAAACTTGTTATCATGGTCGAATTACCGACCAGGGGGCCCTCATTGAATTTGTTAGTCAGTCTGACTCAGATATCATATTAAACACTGCCAACATTTCCCTCCGCCCCATGGCAAAATGTGTAGAATTACAGCAAGCTTGCTATAAAACTGCAAACATTTCTCTACACCTTAAAACACAACAAAATGTCACTCCGCTGTCAAGAGGGGGGCCACTAAAATGTTTTGCTCGCAATGTGGCGTGGGGTGTGGGGTGTTGCCCATTAAAGTTGCCCATCCCTGATCTAGGCAATTCAAACAATAACTATTAGAACTGATAAAATTCCCCTCCCTCCAAAATCATCTTACCAGATAGATATTTTCTTCTTATAGTTACTCCAGTCACTGCTGCTATCACAGCTAGTACCACCACCACAACAGGAGATATTATTGCAGCTATGGGAAGGGAGGTCTGCGGTCCACATTCAGAGTTGGATGAATGAGTTCCAGGTTTAATTTGCTGAAGCTTCAAGGTATCACATCTATAATAAGAGAAACGGACCATTGGTAATCGACAATTTGATAATCTAACTTTGTTTTACATTATGAAAACTGTTAGCGTATTGCAGTTTTTCGTTTATATTTTGAAGGAAATAACCATTTGCATGAGCCACACTTACTGTGTGTATGGCTGGCAGGATGTAAATGATCCATCTGAATAAGTATCACCAGTGCAGTCAGCACACACAGTATCTGCAGATGTTGTTCCTAAATCAACACAGGGTGAAACTCATTAAGGGTACTAACTTGAGATGTGCTTAACTCACGACTGCATATATCATGCATTGATGTCAATGGAAGATTTGCATGAAGACCAACCTGTGTGGCTGATGTATTGACCAGGTTTACAGCTGCTGTGTCTCTGGGCTGCTCTACAACCATCCTTAGTTGGGTCTAGACAGTAGAACCCCTCCAGTGTCCCACAGACAGTGTCTGATGAAGGTCTACATGGCTGCTTTACCTTCAAACCCAAACCTATGGAGAAAACATGTCACTTGGTATCTGAAGCTACATGTAAAGCCTGTTGTATTTCATTAAAACAACAGCTGATATTAAAGTAGCTCAGTGTTTATGCCCAGAACACATAATTCTCACCTGGATGACATGTGGTACATTTGTTGCATGTTGTTTTCCCACTGGGCTCATCAAGGAATGTGGAGTCAATACAGGGCACACAGGAGGTGATTGTAGATTTAGTACAATGACTATATACACGATATCCTGTTGAAAAGAAAACCAGAAAATAATTAAATGTTGGTATTATTATAGTTATTATTATAATTAACCCCTCATAAAAATACACAAGGTCCTTACCAGGCCTACACATTCTGCAATCTCTATCGCCTATTTTATAGATATATGTGAAACAGGGTTCAATGTTTAGAAGTATAAAAGTGATAGGTATCTGCAAATAGAGAAGAAATAAAACATCAGCATCAGCATACATTACATTTAAAGATGACACCAAACCCAAGATAACCTGTTATCTGCAAATTCAGTCAATAAATGTTAGTGAAATGTACGTCTCTCAGTCAAATGTTAACTAAAACTAGTTGGCTAATAACTGATTCATATTTCATAAAGGACATATTTACATTGATCACTTTTCTTTTTTTACATGCCAAGCCACAACATGTGCTAATCAGAAATGTTTCACTTACAGTCCATATCAAGGTTTCAAACTGTGCCATGGTTCCTCAATCCTCTCCAACTCACTGGAAGACCCACACACTGGATTTATGAAGTTCTTAGGAGTTTTGAAGTATGGAGATGAACTGACCTGTAGACTTAATGTATTTTAGTACATGTAAATATAATCCTTTCAATTTGTAAAATTATGATATCTTGCTGAATTGCATCAGTAAAAAATAATAATAATTGAGAAGTATGAAACAGAAATAGGCAAATAGTTATTAGAGAATGCTGCCAGGTAACGTCGACACAGCCAATGCCTTCCATTTACTGCATGAGGCCTACTGAAATACTGTAGTGTGTGAGAGATCGTGTAGGCTACCTGTAGAAATGTGCCTGCCCCTTATTTACTGGTGTAGTATCTGAGGAATTATGACTTTGCTAACGTTTTCAAATGGAACCTGAGAGGAGGTTTATTCAGCTTAGAGGGAGCATCTGGGGAGCAGTTTTAGAGGGGCACCCTAAAGCAGAGGAAGTCTGTTAGGTGTCCTCCTGGGATTGGTCTGTAGGGGAACACCCATATCAGATTACATAGAATATATACCACAGTGAGGACAGAGGAGAAGCAGAATAATCAGATTTGAGATGGGGCGATTATTCTCCAGGTATCTGCAGGTATCTGTAAATCGATGCTGTAACCCTTTGTTATGAATAAACCTTTATGATGAAAATACAGCGTCAGCGGTTCTCCTTGGTCACACAGCATAATTAGCAACGTTTGCTCGACACAACACTGGTAACATGCAATTGTACATCATTGAAAAAGCAAATGCATAAATGAACATTACCTTTACCACACATTGGGCAGCACTGCCCGTCAAAAGTGTTGTATTCTGCTGGACCACAATCCTTTCCAAATACAAGTATAAAATGAAAACGACATAGGAGTTAAAAATAGTACAAACAGACAGGAATTTATAATTAAAACATGAATTATGACTTTGTGTCTTCCTTCCCCTAATAAGTGGAAATCTACAGGATGGTGGCCGACTGTCAGACTGACTTAAGACAACATCAAACTATCGACTTCTGCGACCATGTTTCCTACCCTACAGGGGAGCTGCCCACACAGAAATAGTGACCATGTAGCCTACCCTACAGGGGAGCTGCCCACACAGAAATAGTGACCATGTAGCCTACCCTACAGGGGAGCTGCCCACACAGAAATAGTGACCATGTAGCCTACCCTACAGGGGAGCTGCCCACACAGAAATAGTGACCATGTACCCTACCCTACAGGGGAGCTGCCCACACAGAAATAGTGACCATGTAGCCTACCCTACAGGGGAGCTGCCCACACAGAAATAGTGACCATGTAGCCTACCCTACAGGGGAGCTGCCCACACAGAAATAGTGACCATGTACCCTACCCTACAGGGGAGCTGCCCACACAGAAATAGTGACCATGTAGCCTACCCTACAGGGGAGCTGCCCACACAGAAATAGTGACCATGTAGACTATCCTACAGGGGAGCTGCCCACACAGAAATAGCGACCATGTACCCTACCCTACAGGGGAGCTGCCCACACAGAAATAGCGACCATGTAGCCTACCCTACAGGGGAGCTGCCCACACAGAAATAGCGACCATGTTTCCTACCCTACAGGGGAGCTGCCCACACAGAAATAGTGACCATGTAGCCTACCCTACAGGGGAGCTGCCCACACAGAAATAGTGACCATGTAGCCTAGCCTACAGGGGAGCTGCCCACACAGAAATAGCGACCATGTAGCCTATCCTACAGGGGAGCTGCCCACACAGAAATAGTGACCATGTACCCTACCCTACAGGGGAGCTGCCCACACAGAAATAGTGACCATGTAGCCTACCCTACAGGGGAGCTGCCCACACAGAAATAGTGACCATGTAGACTATCCTACAGGGGAGCTGCCCACACAGAAATAGCGACCATGTACCCTACCCTACAGGGGAGCTGCCCACACAGAAATAGCGACCATGTAGCCTACCCTACAGGGGAGCTGCCCACACAGAAATAGCGACCATGTTTCCTACCCTACAGGGGAGCTGCCCACACAGAAATAGTGACCATGTAGCCTACCCTACAGGGGAGCTGCCCACACAGAAATAGCGACCATGTAGCCTACCCTACAGGGGAGCTGCCCACACAGAAATAGTGACCATGTAGCCTATCCTACAGGGGAGCTGCCCACACAGAAATAGCGACCATGTAGCCTATCCTACAGGGGAGCTGCCCACACAGAAATAGTGACCATGTAGCCTACCCTACAGGGGAGCTGCCCACACAGAAATAGTGACCATGTAGCCTACCCTACAGGGGAGCTGCCCACACAGAAATAGTGACCATGTAGCCTACCCTACAGGGGAGCTGCCCACACAGAAATAGCGACCATGTAGCCTATCCTACAGGGGAGCTGCCCACACAGAAATAGTGACCATGTACCCTACCCTACAGGGGAGCTGCCCACACAGAAATAGTGACCATGTAGCCTACCCTACAGGGGAGCTGCCCACACAGAAATAGTGACCATGTAGACTATCCTACAGGGGAGCTGCCCACACAGAAATAGCGACCATGTACCCTACCCTACAGGGGAGCTGCCCACACAGAAATAGCGACCATGTAGCCTACCCTACAGGGGAGCTGCCCACACAGAAATAGCGACCATGTTTCCTACCCTACAGGGGAGCTGCCCACACAGAAATAGTGACCATGTAGCCTACCCTACAGGGGAGCTGCCCACACAGAAATAGCGACCATGTAGCCTACCCTACAGGGGAGCTGCCCACACAGAAATAGTGACCATGTAGCCTATCCTACAGGGGAGCTGCCCACACAGAAATAGCGACCATGTAGCCTATCCTACAGGGGAGCTGCCCACACAGAAATAGTGACCATGTAGCCTACCCTACAGGGGAGCTGCCCACACAGAAATAGTGACCATGTAGCCTACCCTACAGGGGAGCTGCCCAAACAGAAATAGTGACCATGTAGCCTATCCTACAGGGGAGCTGCCTACACAGAAATAGTGACCATGTAGCCTATCCTACAGGGGAGCTGCCCACACAGAAATAGTGACCATGTAGCCTATCCTACAGGGGAGCTGCCCACACAGAAATAGCGACCATGTAGCCTATCCTACAGGGGAGCTGCCCACACAGAAATAGTGACCATGTTTCCTACCCTACAGGGGAGCTGCCCACACAGAAATAGTGACCATGTAGCCTACCCTACAGGGGAGCTGCCCACACAGAAATAGTGACCATGTAGCCTACCCTACAGGGGAGCTGCCCACACAGAAATAGTGACCATGTTTCCTACCCTACAGGGGAGCTGCCCACACTAATCACAAAGTAACTCTGAGTATTTAGCTAAGTCGATAAGGCCGTCATTAAACGTTCATGTAATCATCATTGGGGGTTTTATCTCAGTCATCAGACTGAAACTTATGAATGTACTGCAGGACTTCCTCAGCTCCCCACAACCTTATTGCATGTTTTTCTTCTCATATATTGTCTCGCTAATGACGTAAACCAGATTGTTGTAGCTAGCTATAACGTTACATGCCGACTATTTTAAGGGATAGTGCTACCAAATATAAATTGTTCTGTGGTGCAACTGCTAGGCAAGGAAGGATGAATTAAACACAGATGAACGCATTTGGAGTCAACATGATCGCTAGCGTACGTCTTATTACTTCAGCAACATGCCATGGGTGTGGTGGTGGTTGCAAAGTCAGTTACTAGCTAGCTCGCTAGCATTGTTAAATAAAGTTTGCTGATTTAATCTCAAATTTGATAGTTTGACTATTTGATTTGTCAGGACACCAACTAGCTAGCCAATTTATATCACACTTTTGTAAAACCTAAATATAGCTATACCAGCCAACTTACAAATGAGTTAATACTGTTCAGACGAAAGGCCTACCATTTCGACTTGATAAAGACGTCAGAACTCTACGTTGTGACGATACATTAATAGTTGGCAAGTATCTATTATTTGTACATTCTGTCCCTCTGTTGGTTTGCTATCAAGATGGCTAGCATAACTTCTTCTTATTCTTCTTCAGTGGGGTTTATCGGCGGTTGGCGTCCAACGTTATGGTGCATTACAGCAACCATAACAGAGACTGGGAGAATCTAAATCCTACCCATCAGCCCCGTTGCTCATGACAAGCATATCAAGCAGGTTGAGGTCACAATCATATCCGGTGTAATGTCATATTGGCCCTGTAAAAATTATTTGATAATGCTTATTTTCTTCCATAAAGTATGACAGTAGAACCCCTCCAGTGTCCCACAGACAGTGTCTGATGAAGGTCTACATGGCTGCTTTACCTTCAAACCAAAGCCTGGGTCACAGTTTGTACACTGTATGCATGCCGTAAGACCATTGGGTTCATCAAGGAAAGTGGAGTCGGAACAGGGGACACAGGAAGTACTTGTAAATTCTGTACAGTGTTTATGTACCCGGTTTCCTGTGGGATAGAAGGTCAGTGTCATGGATTGATTGGTATTGAAATGTATTTTCTTCATAATAATCCATATTGTATACAGAGAACTGGTCCTTACCTGGCGAACACATAGGACAGCACTCATCAACTATTCTGTACTCTGCTCTACCACATGCGATAGAGAGTTCAATGTTTAGAAGCACCAAAATGATTGGTAGTAAATATAAAAAATTAAAACATCACTGTTGAAAAATATTTTTCAGTCTTATCTACAGCCATGGTTTCATAAAACCAGTGTATTAGACTCAACACAGTGGGTGGGTGAGGGGGGCACACATTGGCAAAGCAAGGATGAAGAGAGTTTGGGGTTAGGGTGGAGATCTGAAAGGAGAAGAGAGAGTTGAGATTGAGGAGCGATTGACAGTTTCAAGTTGAGAGAAATAATATGTAATGTTTTCCATGTTTTTAGGTCAGTAAATACATGTACATTTGCTTTTGCAAGGCCATCCCCCAGCTGGAAGCTTTGACTATGTTCTGCTTTGAAACTGCGCCATGGTTCTCCAATCCTCACCATCTCACTGGAAGAAGGTCCACCACCTTGGATTCTTAGGAGTTTTGAACAATAACAATGGCACCATCCCTGTTGTCTTCAATCTTAATGTAGATTTTGAGTCATGGACGAATAAAGCTATTAGAAGACAAGGGAAAAGGTTTAATACACAATATTGAAACACACAGTACAATAAGATCTGATTAATTCGATTCAATGCAATTTCATATTTGGTGGCAATATTCATGTATTTCAGTGTAACGTGAACCAATATATTCAGCCTGGCCTCACAGCCTGGACAGCCGCTATTTACCGGTATTTTATCCCTGGCCCAAAAACAGTTGTGGGAACCACAACATAATAAGAATATGACCTAACGTAATAACAATATGACCAGTCACCTTACATTTACATGTTTGTAATTTAGCAGACGCTCTTATCCAGTGCGACTTACAATTTACGGCTGTCCCCAACAACAACAAAAAATCTTTGTCGACCAAGAGTCGTCTGTTCTTTCGACCAATCGATTGGTTGAAATTTTAAAACGTGTATTTTTCCATATATATATATATATATATATACAGTGGGGAGAACAAGTATTTGATACACTGCCGATTTTGCAGGTTTTCCTACTTACAAAGCATGTAGAGGTCTGTAATTTTTATCATAGGTACACTTCAACTGTGAGAGACGGAATCTAAAACCAAAATCCAGAAAATCACATTGTATGATTTTTAAGTAATTAATTTGCATTTTATTGCATGACATAAGTATTTGATCACCTACCAACCAGTAAGAATTCCGGCTCTCACAGACCTGTTAGTTTTTCTTTAAGAAGCCCTCCTGTTCTCCATTCATTACCTGTATTAACTGCACCTGTTTGAACTCAATACCTGTATAAAAGACACCTGTCCACACACTCAATGAAACAGACTCCAACCTCTCCACAATGGCCAAGACCAGAGAGCTGTGTAAGGACATCAGGGATAAAATTGTAGACCTGCACAAGGCTGGGAGGGGCTACAGGACAATAGGCAAGCAGCTTGGTGAGAAGGCAACAACTGTTGGCGCAATTATTAGAAAATGGAAGAAGTTCAAGATGACGGTCAATCACCCTCGGTCTTGGGCTCCATGCAAGATCTCACCTCGTGGGGCATCAATGATCATGAGGAAGGTGAGGGATCAGCCCACAACTACACGGCAGGACCTGGTCAATGACCTGAAGAGAGCTGGGATCACAGTCTCAAAGAAAACCATTAGTAACACACTACGCCGTCATGGATTAAAATCTTGCAGCGCACGCAAGGTCCCCCTGCTCAAGCCAGCGCATGTCCAGGCCCGTCTGAAGTTTGCCAATGACCATCTGGATGATCCAGAGGAGGAATGGGAGAAGGTCATGTGGTCTGATGAGACAATAATAGAGCTTTTTGGTCTAAACTCCACTCGCCGTGTTTGGAGGAAGAAGAAGGATGAGTACAATCCCAAGAACACCATCCCAACCATGAAGCATGGAGGTGGAAACATCATTCTTTGGGGATGCTTTTCTGCAAAGGGGACAGGACGACTGCACCGTATTGAGGGGAGGATGGATGGGGCCATGTATCGCGAGATCTTGGCCAACAACCTCCTTCCCTCAGTAAGAGCATTGAAGATGGGTCATGGCTGGGTCTTCCAGCATGACAACGACCCGAAACACACAGCCAGGGCAACTAAGGAGTGGCTCCGTAAGAAGCATCTCAAGGTCCTGGAGTGGCCTAGCCAGTCTCCAGACCTGAACCCAATAGAAAATATTTGGAGGGAGCTGAAAGTCCGTATTGCCCAGCGACAGCCCCGAAACCTGAAGGATCTGGAGAAGGTCTGTATGGAGGAGTGGGCCAAAATCCCTGCTACAGTGTGTGCAAACCTGGTCAAGACCTACAGGAAACGTATGATCTCTGTAATTGCAAACAAAGGTTTCTGTACCAAATATTAAGTTCTGCTTTTCTGATGTATCAAATACTTATGTCATGCAATAAAATGCTAATTAATTACTTAAAAATCATACAATGTGATTTTCTGGATTTTTGTTTTAGATTACGTCTCTCACAGTTGAAGTGTACCTATGATAAAAATTACAGACCTCTACTTGCTTTGTAAGTAGGAAAACCTGCAAAATCGGCAGTGTATCAAATACTTGTTCTCCCCACTGTATATATATATATATATATATATACACACACACACATCCCATGTGTTTTAATCAAATCAATTATATTCACTGAGCTTGTCTGATGCTTTAAGCACACCGTTTGATTAAATAATTAAGACACACAAATGACTAGAGGGAGTCCGACCAGCAATTGATTTGATTGTGCCGGGCTGGTATCAGACTTGTTAAAAAAAAAAAGACAGCGAGTGACCAGCACCTTTTTGTTGTCTCTCTCCTCCCTGCTGCAGCGACCACCAGTGTTTATCGTGCTGTTACAATATCATTTATCTGACCGTTTGGAACAATGTAAACACTAAATAAATTATAAGTGTACCAGAGAGTCTGTTGTAAAGTTTTTTTGTTAAGCCTTTATTACAGCAAAGACTAAAAACGGTCACATTCGTGAATGTAATTTCTGTAATAGAAGGGTTTATTTATTGTTTAAGCTAATTATTCAAGGCTCGCTTTATTTTATTTTAAAACTAAAATGCTTGATTGCATTTCAAATCATGAATGACTCGTATGCTGTGTGATGACATGAACGAATGAATGATTGATACAGTAGCCTATATAAGTATTGAAATATAGGCCTAAGTAAGTTAAGGTATTAAGACTAAACAGGAGGTGCTCTTAGGCCTACAGTGATGGTGGTTATAACAGGCTGCTATACTAAGCCTACTAATGATAATGACATTACATATTATAATAATGATGATCATAATAATAACAATAAGGAGATCAAGAAAAATGAGGGTTATTTGTAACTCAGCTGGTAGAGCACGGCGCTTGTAACGCCAAGGTAGTGGGTTCGGTCCCAGGGACCACCCATACACAAAAATGTATGCACACATGACTGTAAGTCGCTTTGGATAAAAGCGTCTGCTAAATGGCATATTATTTATTTATTATTATTATTAATATAATAAATATGATTTCCGACAGTTGGGAACAGTGTAAACAACACTAAATAAATGATAAGTAATACCAGAGAGGCTGTTCTAACGAGAGAAAAAAAAGTGTAAAGCCTTTATTACAGCAAAGCAAAGATTAACAACAAACAGAAGCAGGATCGGTCTTATTTCTGTAGATATAAATGGATGCTGTATAAAGCCAGGCACATTTAACAGTTAGGCTATTGATTATAGACCTAATTAAGTTGGTTTCCTCTCTCCTCACTTTTCTTAGACAATAAGGCAAGAGCTTTTTTCTCATCTCCTCATTCTGCTGCTGCCTCCGCAGCATTGTTCTCAACACCAATAAGCTGGTTAACTTTGCTATTATACACACAGCAACTTAGTCTAGGAAAAGGCACCAATTCAACAGCGCACTGATGTGTTTCAGAACCGCAGACAGCAACCACTAGCCAATGTGGGAGAAGGCGCATGTTATAAAATAATATTATTTTGATTAGTGTTGCACCATTTGTTCATATGTAATATAACCATATACAATTTCAGTAGCACATATCTTAGACTGATGGACTGTGCCATCCCCACGGCCTCCACAATGGATCAGTCCACTCAGAAAGGCACGAATCCTTGGTTGACCAACAGCCTATTGACCAGTCGACTAAATGGGGTCAGCCCTAATAGCAAATAGGGACGCACGATATATCGGTAAGCATATCGGAATCGGCCAATATTAGCTAAAGATGCCAACATCGGCTCTATGTATAGTTTAACGCCGATGTGCAAAACCGATGTCAAAGTTGATGTGCATACCTGTATAACGTAGGTAGATGACGTAATGGCGGCACGAAAAATACAGCGCTACACGTGCAACACAGCATTCCTAACCTAGCCCACAATGTCTGCTGTGTGGATCTATTTTGAAGTTTCAAAGGAAGATAACAGAAAGGCCATATGCAATGTTTGTGCTGCTATTGTTTCCTGAGGGGAAAAACAAGTTTTAATGACTCCAACCTAAGTGTTTGTAAACTTCCGACTTCAACTGTAGAAATCCATAATGCAAAAAAGGCTCAAACAAAGCAGAACAATGCAAAATAAAAGGCTACTTTTAAAAACAAAACAGATGGGTTTTTATTTTATTTTTAAGCAAAGTAAAAGGGAGTTGTTCTCCAGTCTAGTAGGTGGCGGTAATGCAACATTTATTGGATGCCAACCACCATTAAACCTCATCGAAGAAGACATTGTTGTTTTGTCTGGCGACATCCGGGGGTTTCCCACCTCAACCTCGCTCTCGTTTCAAATGGCGCCTGTGTGACTAAAACATATACCACAGAAACAACAAATCTTTGCGTATACTCCCGAGGTTCTATATCGTGGAGCTCCGCCCCATAGGGGAGCTCTGCTCCTAGTGGTTTACCCTCTGCCCTAAGGCAGCAACAGCCTGAAACAAAATTATGCACACACCTGCAGCC